AGCTTACTATTTTTCTTTAAAATAAATATAACTAGGTAGCTTACTTTAGATATTAACGTTTATATATATCCCTTTTATAGATTCTTATTAAGGTAGTTATATAGCGTTTATAGTTACTTTTCGTTTAAGTTATAAATCTTATAGAACGTTAGCGTTATTTTATCTTTAAGATAAATTTTATAGTCCTATTAGCTATATTTAGGTAACCCTATCTTAAGTTCTTCCTTAAAGAGTTTATTATATTTCCGGTATTCCTAAGGGATATTCTTTATTCTATTTTATAGGCTTTATTCTTTCTTTTAAGATTTAGTTTCTCTTAACTTAAGCTCTTTATTAATTTATTTAAGGTCTTTCCTTAAAGTAGTAATAACTCTTTAGATCTTTATATTATATCCTTTATTTTATTTATATTAGATACTAGGTTATATAGCTATATTAGTTAGTACGTAGGTCTTATTAATCGATTTTATTATATTTACTAGTTCGGTTACTATTTTTATTTATATCGCTAAAGCCTATAATAATTTACTTAAACGGTTATCCCTTTTATCTTATTTAGTAGCTAAATTATTATAAAATTTTACTTTCTCTTAAATCTACTAGTCCTAGAAACTTATATCCTTATTTTAATATAGCTAGCTAGTTTTCTAGTTAATTAATAGGTTGCTCTCTTATAGCTATAAAAGCCTTAATATAAGGTTATATTCTCTAATATCTATAATATTAAAGTTAATATATTTATTATAGCCCTAGATATTAATATTAAGGTAATTAATCTCTATATTAATAATTCTATTATTATAGTTAAAGTCCTTTCCTTTAATATTTATAAGTTTATATAGATCTTACTTATATCTTTATATAAGTTAGTAACGATTAACGACTTTAGGTAAAATATAATTACTTATCGCGCTATAATTTAAAAGTATATACGCGTAATATCCCGCGATTTAAATATCTAATACTATTTAGTCGCTATAGCTTACTATTACTATATATAGGGTCCTTAGATCTTATTATATTATACTAGTTTATAGCCCTTTTATAAATAGTATACCTCGTTTTTTACCTAGTCCTTATTTATTTTATTTAGGTATTCTTCTTTAATTTATTATTAATATCGTTTCTTTATATTTTCGTCGTATAGTATTATATTAAGGCTTAAGAGACTAATTTCTTATAGCTAATTAAAGATTTCTTATTTCTCGACGCTATATTATTTATATTATACTACTTTATAGTTAATTATATACTATACTTTATAATTTTATTTATTTTTATACTAAAGGTTAAGTTTTTATTTAGCGTCTTTTTATTTTTTATATAGTATTTCTATATTAATTCTTCCTTAGTTAAATATAGCTTATAGCCTTTATATATTTTACTAATAATCTTTTAGTATACTATTATATCGTTTATACTATACTTATACTTTTTTATATTTATAAACTCTATAGTTTAGGTATATATATTTATTATAATCTTCTTTATTATATTTAACTTATTATATAAGTCTTTAAAAGATTAAGGGTTTAAATACCTTAAAGTAAGTAGTATTATACTATTCTTTTATTTTAGTATATTTATAGATTTTATATATCTCTAAAAGATATCTTATTAATAAACCGTAATTATCGCGGTATTTAAGTAGCGTACTATAATTAGGTTCTAATAATATAACTTAGTTATTTAGGTAGCGTTAATCGATTTTCTAGTAGTTTAGTTCTATACTTAGGTAGGGTTTTAAAAGTACTTATCCTTTAAACCTAACTAGGAAGGCGTTATATCGTGCCTTTATCTAAAAGTATATTATATAATCTAAGTAAACGTATAATATCTATAAAATATACTTATAGTACTTATAAGTAAGTAGTATTTATAGATCGTCTTTAAATTCTCCTTATAGTTATTATTCTTATTATAGAGCTATAAAGGTATTAACTATAGCGATAGCTATAATATAGTCTCCTTTATATAGTACCGGTTAATACCGAATTAATATAGCTTATTAGTTTTTTATAAGAATTTAAGGTATTTATTAGGTTCTAATTTTAAGTATTTCTTTAAATTCTTCGAAGTATAAAGCGTATTCTCTAATTATAGCTTTTTCCCTTAATAGTAAGGGTAGTAATATAAGTTCGTTCTTATCTTTTATTTCTCTAGGTATTTCTTATTCTTTAAAGCTTATATCGTCGGTACTTTATTATTCCTTTTTAAGTTATTATCTAAGTTTTATAAGTATAAGGGCTATATCTATATCTTCCTTATTATATTATTTATAAACTACCTATTATTATTATTGATTTTTATTTTATATATTTTCTTAGAATCGTTTACCGTTCTTTTTAATTTAGTCTTAAGAGACTCCTTTAAGATAAGAGTATTTTAGTTTTATAAATTTAACTTATTTCTATATTTTAAGATCCCTTTATTATATTATTATAAGGGTCTTCTTTAGTAGCTTTAAGAACTATCTAGTACTATCTTTATCGCTTAAGTATACCGTATATTTATCGTTATAGTATATAGTCTAACTAAGAAGTTTATACTTTAGTTCTTATTTATTAGTAGCGTTTAGGTATTTCTTACCTTTTAGGGCTAATACTTAATAGGTTTTCTTCTCCTTATAAGGTTATTTATATTCTTTAAAGTAATATTTAAGTTTCTTATAGTTAAAATACTTTCCTTTACTTTTTTATATTATATCTAGGTCTATCCTACCTAGGTTAGTTATATAGGTATAAGTAATAAGAGTTTTATACTTCTTTTTATAGTTAGCGCGTTAATTAAAGTTATTCCTATAAGAAGGGTTTTAGTTTCCTCTTCTTTATTTCTTTTCTTAATATCGCGTATACTATCTATTATTAATTTATACTACTATAGTAATATAGTCTAAGAGGTTATTAGGTCGATTTTCCTTATAAAGCTCGTCTTTAACTTTTTCTTTAAGCCTATTATAGAATCGTAATATAAGAGGTTCGTCGTCCTAATTAAGCTTTAAGGTAACTTAATAGAACTTTATAGTATAATTTAATACTAAGTGTTACGGCCAGGCACATACGAGCCTTGACGGCTATAAAGATGTATTGGCACTATGAACAAAGACTCAAAGCTAAGGAGCAAGAAAGGAAGACTAGACTACACGACCGAGCGGGCCCTTATATAGACACGAGGTCGCGCGTGGGCACGTGATGCTGCTTGGGCACGTGACACTGGTGAGGTTCTGCGCTGGCTCTCTACGCCGGCGCCCAGGGTCGTGACACTACCCCCCGTCTAAGGCCTTGATATGCGTATCAAGGTAGTCAGTCGTGGCGGCGGGTTCTTGGTTTCACGGCTTTCTCTGCTGTGTCGTCATCGTCTCGTTCCTCGCAGCCCTCCTCCGCTGCAGCACATTCGATCCAGTATTGCAGGTTGACGGGTGGGCCTGCTGCGTCCGGATGTTCATCGTGGAAAATCTTCAATGCCATTGGTGCGTTACGGAAATTCCTAGCCGGGTACCAGGTCTCATCAGGGTCACATCCCTTCCATAAGACCTGGTATTCCAGTCGTCGACTCCTACCGGTTACTCGAGACTGCTGGACTTGATCAACCTCCCACTCGGGTTCTCCGTTGATCTCCTCGGGTGGCGGAGGTGACTGGATCTGCTGGGGCAAGGGGTTATCGGCTGCTTTTCGAAGACGGTCGGCGTGGAATAGGTTCTTCATTTTGTACGACTCGGGCAGCTGCAGTACGTAGCTATGACCGCGTTCTTCCAGGATTACGAACGGACCTGACCATTGGTTATCTAGCCGAGTAGTCGGAGCGTTCGTGGCGAAGCCTTTCCTGCTGAGAAAACTCGGTCACCGATGGCAAAGTCGGTTGGTCGTCGTTTCCTATTAGCCTGTTCCTTCTGACGTTCTTGAGCGGCGGTGGCAGCATTCCTGGCGTCTTCCTGGGTTTCCTGGGCGGTCTGCACAAGTTCCCTAGCTCTGGCGGCGGGTCCGGTGGCAGCGGTCTTGTCAGTCGGGGGCAGTGACAGGGGTTCCGGATATCTCGGCCTGGGCTACTTTTAACGGTGCCATGTCGATGGAAGAGTGCCAAGACGAGTTATGGGCGAAGTCGAGGGCGGGCAGCAGGGAACTCCAGTTATCTTGATGCTTCGTCACGTAGAATCGTAGCTTTTGATCTAGGTATTGATTTGTAACTACCCCTTGGGTCTGAGGTGTAGGAGCTTCCATGACGATGCTTCGTTCCCGTGAGCCGGTTAATCTCTGCGAGGAAGGCAGAAATAAACTGTCCAGCGTTGTCAGAAATCCATACGAGGGCATACCGAAGAAACGATAGAGGTAGCGGAAGTAGCGGCTAGCTAAGACTTCTGCCGTATCGTTTTTCTTTCCTGGGAGCGTGGCGATAATCCGGCTTAGCTTGCAGACGAAGGTCCAAACATAGTCATATCCGTAACGGTCTTTCGGCATATCCTTCCCGTCACATTCGACGTGCTCCCAAACAGAGGTCGGTACGGGCAGTGGATGGAGCAGTCCAGGGGTCTTGTCTCGAGGGGTTTTGTTGCGGCGGCAGTCGTGGCAGTTCCGAATATAACGACGGATATCCTCCTTCATCCTTGGCCAGTAGAAGTCTCGTTGGAGCAGCTTGATCACCTTGTTCTGTCCGGCGTGAGCGAAGATCTGGGGTTCGTGGGCTTCGCGAATGAGCGCGGTCTGAAGAAACGTCTGCTTGTCTGAGGTCTGGGCTGGTACGACCAGGTGTGTTCCATGGGTACCGAGGTCTTGGAGGAGGTTCTCTTGGCGGATCAACGAAACGAGTTCGGCTCCCTTCGGGACCGAGTTCGGGTCTAGTTCTGGGCGGTCTTGATCGGGCGTCTGCTGTATCCTCGGTCTTCTGGGGTCTGTAGGGCACTCGTGGCCCTCAGAACTAATGGTCTAGTAGGCTTAGGTTCGGGACTAAAGTTCTGAGGGGCAGGTTGCCGGCGGCCGTAGGGTCTAGAGAGTCGGTCGCGAAGCCTAGCCTTTCCGGAGGATCAGGGTCACCGTGCGTTCCTCGGCTTCCCGGGCCTTTACGGTAGGGAGCTCCGCTGTCTTCCTGGAGAGGGCATCGGCGACTACGTTCAGTCGACCGGGGCGGTAGAGGAAACGGATGTCGAACTGGGCGAGAAAGTCGGACCATCTGATCTGTCGTACCGAGAGCAGGCGCTTCGTAGAGAAATGGACTAAGGCTTCGTGATCGGTGATCACATCGAACTTCTGGCCTAAGAGCTCTGGGTAGAAGTGCTCTAGACTCTGTACGACGGCGAGGAGCTCTCGATCTTGGATTGGGTAGGCTCGCTCGGCCGGGGTCATGGTCTTAGAGAAGAATCCAACGGGCTTCCAGGTCTGATCAGGCTGTTCCTGCCATAGAACACCAGCTGTGGCATTCCGGGAGGCATCGGTCTCCAGTCGGGTCGGCAGTTCTGGTCTAAAGAAGGCGAGGACCGGGGCTTCGATAGCCAGGCGCTTGAGTTGATCAAATGCTTCGCGTTGCTCCGGGCCCATCACAAAGGCAACATCCTTCTTAAGCAACCGGTTCAAGGGTTCTGCCACTCCGGAGGCGTGGTAGCAGAAAACACGGATGAAGTTGCATAGGCCAACGAATGATCGGATCGCGGTGCGGTCTCGGAGGTCTTCAAACTTCCAGTCTTGTATCGATCGAACTTTCCGAGGGTCGACACTAAGGCCCACACCGGCTTCAAGCAGAACGCCGAGGTAGTCAACCTTGGTCACGTTAAATCTAGACTTCTTGATGTCTCCCTGGAGGTTGGCCTGATGGAGTCGCCAGATCACTTCTTGACAGTCTTTCCAGTGGTCTTCTTCTTTATCCGAGTAGATCAGGACGTCATCTGCGTAGGCGCTGGCGCACCGGTCGAGGAGATCGTGAAGCTGCGCGTTGATAAACTGCTGGAACCAGGCGGGACCTACCTTCAGACCGAACGGGAGGACTTTCCAGCGGAAAGTTCCGAAACGGGTGCGAAAGGCGGTCAAATACTCGAGTCAGGGTCCATGCGGAGACGGTGGAAGGCCTGGATCACATCGATCTTCGTGAAGCGTTGAGCTTCACGGCAACCGAAAGCAGTACCTTCGAGGGACGGAGCGGGCGTGATGCGACTTTTAAGATGATCGTTCATCCAACGGTAGTCGATGCAGAAGCGGCGGGCGGTCGTGTTCGGTTTCGGAGCGAAGAGGACAGAAGCGGCGTGCGGACTCGGATCGGGCTCGATGAAGTCTATCTCCGGAGGTGATCGACAGTCTCTTTCTCTAGAGGCAGATACTTAACGGGCGTGCGGTACGATGGGGTCCTGTCGGCGAAAGAGGCTTCTCAAGCTCTAGGACTACATCGTGACCGGGTCGGCTCGAAGGTAGGGTGTGGGCCTCTTTCTTCGAGAAGAATCCTCTAGATGGGTGAGCTGGGGCGGTAGACGACTACGGACACAAGCAACATGCTCAGGGTCTTCTCCTGAGGGAACGGAATGCTTTGTCCCTGGTAGGTCTTCTGATCCGGGAGACTTTAGCAACGGTTCGAGCACTAGGGACGGTCTGGTCAAGGCCGGAGCTTGGCTCGAGCTGGACTGGATCCCGGGGCATCAACGGTTCGAGTTCGTTCCACTGTTCGAATCTCTCGTGAGACTCTACTTGGCAGACCAGGGCGTTAATCAGGGCTTGATCTTCGGAGGCTTGGACCGAGGCGACGGAGACGAAGTCGGTAGCAGGGGCGGTCGTGAGCTGAAAACGGACAGACTTCTTGGCAGACGGAGACTTGGACTGAAACGACGGAGACGGAGTCGGTAACGGGGTCGGGACAGAGGCCGGAGGAGCTTGATCAGAGCGGCGCCAGTTCTTGTGGAGGATCCGGTAGCGTTTCTCCTCTTTCTCGAGCAGGCGGTTCCGCCTCTCAGCGTCGGCCTGGATCTTAGGGTCGATCCGACCCGAGAGCGGGGCTTGACGAGAGAGCTGGATCGTCGGGGAGAACTTGGCGAGGGCAGGAAGATCATCTGGCCAGATGATCTGTCGGGCGGCGCAGTCAAGCAGGAGGCGCTTCTCCGCATCCAGAAAAGACCGATAAAGATATCATGGCCACACTCAGCTATATCAAATGTCTCGTTTGCGAACGAACGGCCATCGATGACGAAAGTGGCGACCAGCTGTTTCTGGATATAGCCGGCTGGCTTTCCACGGAAGTCTTGGAGAATCCGACTCGGGAGCTCCTTAATCTGGGCTCCGAGTCTTTGGGCGGCGGACTGGGCGAAGGTTGGGCTAACCAGCAAACGGGTTTCGGCTCCGGTATCACAGAGGGAGCGGGCAGGTAAGCTCACACCATCCACTTGGACTTGACTTGGCAGAGTGAATGACTTGCTAGACCTACTCGCTATCTGTGACACCTTAGGGACCATCAAGGAGTCTTGTGATGGTCCTATTCGTTTCCCGAATCTTGATCAGAGTCGTTGGCAGGACAGGGACGGAGGCGACACGGGAGACAGCATGGGTGCGGTCGGGACAGTCGCGAGAGAGGTGCCCTGTTTTTCCACAAATAAAGCAGGTGCCATTATCCCAATGGACCCTTTTCTCATCGTCGGTCAAGGCTCTGCCAGCATCACGCGAGGTGATAGGGTCGAGCCGGTCTTGTTCGGAGTCTTGGCGGTAGTCGGAGCAGTCTTAGTCGGCGCGCGGCGAGATCGGTCGGAAGAGCGGGAGTCCTGTGTCTGCCTCATACTCCTCTTCTGGCAGTGGACAGCGTCCTTAATGAACCCACAGAAAACCTCGTAGGTCACGGACTCGTCACGGGTCTTGGTCAAGAGGCTGTTATCTAGGTTGGCCGGGATGTGCTGCCACAAGGTATGCTTCATCTGGTCCTCGGGCACACGACCGGTCGCAGTTAAGTAGTCAAATTCCGCAAGGAAGTCCACAATGTCGGTCTTCCCATTCACGGTAAACTGGAGGCGTTGCAGGCGGTCAAGAGCCTCGGAAAGCTCATTCGGATTGCCATAGGCGGACTCGAGGGCTTGGATCATCTCTGCCACTCCAGAGAAGGGTCGAGTGTCAGAGGAGAAGCGGGTTTCAAGTGCTCGGCGGGCTTTTCCCTCGAGCAGGTTATACAGACAGACCATCCGGCTGTTCTCAGTCCGGAAGGTTCGTACGTCTTCGTCAAATTTGTTCTTTATGCTCAGGATGAAGGAATGGAACTCGTCCTTCTTTCCTGAGAACGTCGCGGAGGCCTTGATGCGCGATTTGGCGGCGTCGCTGTACTCGGGGTTCTTGCCCTCTGGGAAGGGGGCAAAAACAGGCCAGGCAGCTTTGCCTGTTGGTCGGAAGGCCGGGCCATTTGGGCCGGCAAAAGCAGTCGAGGGCTCCCGGTGCTGTCGATTTGATTCAACAGACAGAGAGCGTTCATTTAGACGGGCCGTTAAGGCCGCAATCTGTTCCCTCATCTCGCGGATGAGAGCGTCTTGGGGGCTCGGGGCAGCCATGGCTACTATTTCGGATTCAGTGGCTTGGCCAGCAAGCCGGGTGGAACGGCGAGGCTGATCAGAGGGCAGGGCTTCCTCGGATATCATAGTCGCGAGGTGATAGGTGTCGGAAATGATACCACGCGGAATCACGGTCAGATGCCTGCACGAGCAGGGACGGTCGGAGGTCAGACGGGACGAATCCCTTGGTCGGAACGGTTGGTCGGACGGCTACACACACGCGTAGTCTTGGTCGGAACGGACGTGATCTCAGCCTTGAGGATCACTTGGTCGGTGGTCGGAGTCTTGGTCGGAACGGTCAGAACGGATGCGCTGGATTTACGTCAGGCGCGTGTGACGTGAAAGCTCGGTGCCTATTTGCTTAATCGCTGGCAAGCGATCTTATTGAGCTTTGAGTAGTGTTACGGCCAGGCACATACGAGCCTTGACGGCTATAAAGATGTATTGGCACTATGAACAAAGACTCAAAGCTAAGGAGCAAGAAAGGAAGACTAGACTACACGACCGAGCGGGCCCTTATATAGACACGAGGTCGCGCGTGGGCACGTGATGCTGCTTGGGCACGTGACACTGGTGAGGTTCTGCGCTGGCTCTCTACGCCGGCGCCCAGGGTCGTGACACTAAGATCCTTTATTAGAGTTCTCGAAGTTTTTATTTAGCTTCTTATTCTTTATTAGTTATTCTAAATACCTTTATAATAGCTTCTTTAAATCCTTAGAAACTAGTAAAGACTTTATCTATCTTATTATCTTATCGCGCTAGTTAGTTATTAAGAAAATCCCTTATAATAGGTCTAAACTAAGCGAGTGCTATTCTAAATAAATAATTTCCTATATAGAGTACCTTTTCGATTAGGTCTAAGAGTTTAGTAAGGTAAAACTAGCAGTAGGCCTTAAGTTAAGTAAGAAAGTCTTAAAGCGTGCTATAAGTACTATCGAATAGTCCTAGCTATTTTAGTTTAACTACTTCTCTAAGGTCCCTAACTTATCTATTACCTCTTTTATTCTTAAGTAACTATACCTTATATTAAAAGGTAATAATTTCGCGTATTATATCCTAAGGTAATATAGTAGCTCTAAAGTTAGTTAATCTAGCTTACTATATAGGTATATTAATAGTTATAATATTACTTAGAGTAACGCGGTATTATATTTAATAAGAGCTTTTAATATATAATAACTAGTATTATTCCTAAGGGATAAACCTATCGAGGGGTTTATATTAGTAGATATAATAGGGCGTGGTCTAAGTAATAATATATATATTACGTTAGTAATAAGTTAGAGGTCGTAGACTATAGACTATAACTAAGTAATTAAAATTAAAGATAGAATCGTAATAAAGATCTATATTAAAAGCTAGAGAGCTATCTATCTAAAGGAGTAAAAGTAAGTAGCTATATATACCTATAAAGACTATCCTTAGATTATAGTCCTAGCTATAATCCCCTTTATAGCTTACTATAGCTTACTTATAAGCTATGCTCCTAAGTAGTAATCTATTTATATAAGGCTTACTTAGCTTATATACGCTCTAGGTAAGCTAAGCCTAAGTAACTTCTTATCCTAACTATTATTCTAAGCCGCCTTATTACGTAAACGTAGCTAGCTCTCCTACGGCCCGCTAACTATAGTCGTAATAAATAACCCCCTAGGCCTTAACTAAGCGGGCTTTAGCCTTAGATTAAGTACGCTTCTTTATAAGATCGCGACCGCCTCGTACCGCTACTTAGGTGCCCTTATCTCTAGCGCCGCTATTCTTAGGTTTATTAGTAAGAGGAGTTAAATCGCGGCTATCTCCGTTATTACTATTATTATTATCTTAGCCCTTATTTAGCTAGGTATTAAGATAGTCTTAGCCCTTATTTAGCTAGGCCTTATTATTAATATCGGCCTACTTATTCTAAGGAGCGGCCTAAGTAATAATCTCTTATTAGCTAGAGCCACCCTATTAAGATAAAGTAGCTAGGTTATCGGCACTTACTTAAGAGCGCCTAAGCACGATCTCCTTACTAGTATTAGTATTACTAATAAGGGTAATAGACTTATAAGTTTCCTAGCCTATAAAGGTAGGCTTATTAATAGCTAGAGTTAAGGTATTTAGTAAGGTAATAAGGGTATAACCCTCGCTAATATTAAGTCCTAGACTAAAAGTCTCCTAGGACTAGGATTCCCTTATACCTTTCTTAGCTTTCTTTACTAAGGGGGAACTAGTATTACTATAAGACTTCTAGGCTAATCGCTTATACTTTAAAGGCAAACCCGCCGCTACCTACTTTTATATATAGCGTAGGAAATTAGCGTTATAGTTCTTTATCTTTTTTAGTATAAAAAGTATTATTATTAATAAATCGTCGATAAAAAGTAATAAAAAAGGGTATAAGGGATTAATAAAAAAATGTATAAAACTCTATAGTAATCGTAAGTAAAAGAGTTAAAGAAGAAAATAAAATAAAAGAAGTAAGGGATATATACGCACGCTCTTTATATTATAGTTCCGCGGCTAATATATAGGCGATACTATAACGGTTACTTAGCGGCAACCGCTAGTATAAGAACTATTAACGTTATAAAGTATAGACTAATATATACTTATATAAGCGTATATATATAATATATAACTATAACTACCTCTCTTTTTAACTAAATATATATAGTATAGTAAAAGTAATATATATTAAAGATATAGCTAAGACGTTTATATAAATAGGGATATAATTATAAGAGCGCTACTAAGAGGTATAAGCTAATAAAGTACTTAGGTATATAGTACTAATATATTAATAGGGTATTAATAAGGAATCGTGCTTGCCTTACTTATATATTATAGACTACTTACTATTTTAATAAAAAAGGAAAAATCCCTCTTTTTATAAGCTTTAGTCTTATAATAAGGAGAATATAATATATATAGTATAGTACCTCTAGCTATCTTTACTACCTAACTAATCGTACTATAATATATATTCCCTTATAAATAAGGTAATATTAGCTATAAATAATAGAGCTATATAGAAATCGGTATAGTATAGCCTCCCCCGCCCTACCTTAACTATCTCTATTAAAAGGATAAAGCCCTAGAAGTTTACTAAACTATAATAACTAAAATAAAGAAGAACCTTTAAATAATACTACCCTTAGCGGTATATTTACAATAATAACCTTAGCGAACTAGCTAATAAGCTTAATTATAAAAGAAGCTCTTATAAAACTACTAATAAAAGCTATAGTAAGAGAAACTAAGGATAATACTACTATAAACCCTCCTTAAGCACCCTTAGTATATATTAAACTAAAAGATATAAGGAAGTTTAATCCCGCTAGCCCCTTTAATATAATATTCGACGTTCTTAAAGAAACTAAGAAAATAATTATATATAGAAGTATCGATTAATTTATTGATTCCCTAAAGCAGGTAGCTATTCGCGGACTAAAATACGCTAACGAACTAACGATACTAATCCTTAGCTTACTCTATAGAACCGCTATTAAATAGTATTTTAGTAATCTTAGCGAATCTAACTAAGCTATACTTTATACCTTAAACTAAGAATATACCGCTTAGTATACTAAACTATAAAAACGCTTCGCTATCTAGCTAAAAGTAGCGTTAAGATCTTTATAAATAAAACGATTTACTACCTTAGATATTATAAATAGAGCTAACTTCTATAAATAGATATTAAAGCTCTACTAAAAAGTAAAAGTAGCGCTATACTTAAAAAAGTACCTTACTATATTAGTCTATTAATAACTAAACGTATTATTATAAGAATTATTCCGCCGACCTATTAGTCTAGAATTATTCGATACTTAGATTAATAACTATAAGTAACTTATCCTATAGTTAGAAACTAAGCTAACGGTTAGGTTATAAGGAAAGATAAGTAATATAGTAAAAGAACGCGTATAAGGTAGATTACGCGAAACTAAGAACGAGACTATAGTAAACTCTACCTTATTTATAGCTAAACTAACTAGTTAGAAACCCTAGGAATAAGGATAATTCTAATAGAAAGGAAATATAACTACCGCGTTAGGATAGAATAATCTATGCTAGGTAGATATAGGCCTAGTACCTAACTAATTAACTAGCCCTTAAGCTAGACTATAGCCTTAGGATTTAAAACTAAAGGAGGGCTTTTAAGAAAACCTAATCGTTATTAACCTCGCCTATTAGCTTTAAGCGGTACTAACTAACGACTAAGGCGGGATATATCTTTCCTAGGAAATATAAAACTAAATCTTATTTACCTAGGATAAAGGACTAGAAGATAAGGATACTACCGCTAATATAAGAGAAGATATTAAAGAAATAAAAGATAAGATCTTATTTATTCTTAATATAATAAAAGCGGAACTTATAAGACTAAGTAGTTCGCCTAAAATACTAAGAAACTAGCTAACTATAAGAGCAGCGCTATAAACTAAAATATCGGATCTAATAAAGCCGTCTTAGTTTACGTATACTTAGATATCTATCTTTAAAACTAAAGGCTTAGACTAACTATTAAACGTATATATAGACTTTAGTATAGCCCGCTTTATAATTAAGGAAGACTAGCTTAACTACTTTAATAATATAACCCTTAATATAACTTAGTAGGTCTTATTATCTAGTATAAGGAAAAGCTAAACTAAGGGTTAAGCGACCTTAACTATTAATATCTAAGGGAAATAAGGAATAGGATTTAAGGTTAGGTAATTTACTATTAGCGCTTAAGTAGTCTAGACCCTATCTATAAGATTATTACTTAGATAAGATTCCTTAGTATTAAATAAAGTTAATATCGTAAACTTTAAGAGAATAATATCTATTAGCTTATATAGTAACCTAATAGTTATAGCTCGCTTAACTTAATAAGGCTATACGATCTATCGTTAGGTTATATACTAAGCCGATATTAACGTCCCTATATATAGGATAGAACGCCTACTAGTATAAATTAAGGATATACTAAGGGATCGTAACCTAGTATTTTTTCTAAGAGACCTATTATTAGCCTATAACTTAATCTAAGGTATAACTCTAGTTATAGTAGTTAATACTACTACTCGCTATATTTAATTTAAGAAAGGATAGTACTT